GGGGGGGGTGTTTGTTTTTTTTTTAATTTGCAGTGTGCTAAAGTGGAGCTGTGAAGCCCTGGGAGTTAGCTTCTACTTGGGCACTCTCCAGGTTTCCCCACCTTTAGCTCAGAAGCAGTGTTTGAAATCCCAGAGTTTTAGACCTGAATATATGTGGGTTCTTCCTTTTCAGTTCACAGCTCTTAAAGAGGAAGTTTAGAAAGAATTTTTTTCCCCTTTTACAGTGGAAGCTGGGTTTCTCACCCACAAGTCAAGAATAGAAGATTTTAAGATACAAGTATCAAAGTAGAGTTTTGAATGAAAGGACTCGGTGCTCTGTGCTCAGTGATTCTCTCCCTCTCCCCCATCCTCACTAGGTCTCAGACAAGGCACTTGGGATTTCCAAGCATCTTCCTAAAGTCTGAGGCTCTCCGTGGTTTATCCCCGCCAGCCTCACTGCAAAGCGCCACTGTCCTGCTCGAGCTCTGCTGGCACATAAATTTCTGGGATTTATGAGATGGGGACAGGATTCAAGGTGATTAAACAGGGGGTATCTGCTAAAACCAAATCTCAGGCAGTGGAAAGCAGATAGGGCTGAAGCATCTTCCCCTCTGACCTGCAGGGGCCCATATCAGTTGGACCTGCCATCAGTGAAGCCCACATCCCGAGGGCTGGCGTTTGCCTTGATGTAACCCCCTTCCATCTCCCTCCTAACGAACAGTAGGTTGCAGGGTGTCTGTTGGGGCAGGATTTGCCCTTTAGTATCAATAACTTCTCTGACAACCTATTTACTCTTTCATCTCCCAGCTGTTACTGCTGATTTATGCAATTTGCAGTGCTGAGCAACGCGGCAGCTGCAGGGAGGAGGAGATGAGAACCAGAAACCCTGCAGGCTTCCTAGGAGACGTCTTCTCCAGTAATAAATCTGTGTTGGAGGAAAGCCTGCTCTGATCCTCTGTGCATGCTCTGGTGTGTCAGGAAAGGACCAAACACCTGTATGATGCTCGCCAAAAGGAGACGTTGCCTCTTTGGTTTTTTCCTCTGTGGCTTTTTGGGATGTTGGAGCTTTATGACTCCGTTGGCTGGAAGATGCCATTGACTCAATAATCTCCTAAGGCATTCAGCTGTCAGCAGCTCTCACCAAACACCATTCTCCCTCCGTCACGCATGAGCACTTGCATGTAGAGCTCCCCAGGCATGGGCTGGAGCCCATGGGGATTACAAAAGGAACGAGGATTACAAAGAAATGTAATATCTGTCAAGACGGAGACTGTGTGGCTCTGATCAGTGATTAGAGCCACACGGTGCAAGAGGCCGTACAAATTGCTACCGATGGAGATGTTCTTTGCTCTACAGATCTCATGGTGCTTAGCTGTTAATCTCACCATGGGGGCTCTGGGTTGTTTCTGCCACTGCTGTTGAATACAGGAGATGTTTACTGAATTATTTGTTGTGTTGCATGAGTGAGGGTGATGGAAATGGCAGGCAGGATGAATTTAGGGTTGATTGCCTGGTGCCTCCTGATGCTGTGCCTAATAAAGGTGTGCTGTTGTCACTTGAGGTGTGCCCCGGGTAGATTGACAAGGTAGTGGGATGGAGATCTCCTTGCCTTCTCCTCCTACAATGTGAAAGGCGATGAGGTGCCTTGCCACGTGGGCCTTGACAACTCATCTATTTTCATTATGTAAATGAAAGAGGAGGACAGCAATAATGCCCTTTAATGGAGAAACACACTGACAAAGCACAGCAGAACTAATACCAAACAAATCAATTGTTGCTGTGACAATTCCCTTTCCCATTTTATCTGAAATACCTATCGAGCACTCGCTAAATTTGATTGCATGCTGAAATAACTGAGTAATGAACCTTTTTCTTTTGCAAGGAAATGCTTTTTTTTTCTCTAAATTGGAAGGCCTTCTCCCATTTGAGGCTTTCTCTACAAGATTTCCAATTTGCTCTCCCAAAGGAATTGCAAGCTATATAGCAAAATCTCTACTTAGGGCTGTAGATAAACAAAAGAAACATGCAAGTTATTTGAATTTTCAATGGGTTATAATATACTGTAGTAAAAAAAAAAAAGGAAGGGTTTTTTTTTTTTGGTTTGGTTTGGGTTTTTTACAAGCTTCTTACCAAGGGCACAATCTGGTTTCTGGCATCTGAACTTTTAATGTGAAAGCGAAAACCTGCAGCTGTTAACACAAGCCTGGGGAAGGGCTTGCTTTCTTTCCTTTCCAGTGTTGTAGGTCTCACCTCCCAGGACAGGTTTATTCAGCTCCTTGCCCTGTCTCCTGACACTTTCTCACGGCCTTCTCCAATTCTGTTGTTCAAATGACGAGATTTTTCTCTGCGTGAAAAAGCAGTTTTGTCTAAATGCCAGGTGGATGTTTCAAGCATGACCACTCTGGTAAGGTTCATGGGAAGGGTTTTCTTTCCTCCAACAAGGAATTGTCGTGGTGTTGGAGAGGAGTTTGGTTTTGCCTGAAACCACCTGGTGAATTCTCTGGATTTGAAGTGTGGGGTTATATAAAGCCCAAGACAGTCCTTAGCAGTTCTGGTAAGGGTCTTGTATCGCATGGTGATCCCAAGGAGACTAGGATAAAACCTACATCCTAGCCACAATCTTCCTACCTGCACCTGAACCAAGCAGGGCATCTGTATGCATGTCTACGAATGGGGTGGGGACAGTCAGCATTGTCTCTTCTCTTGCTGTCTGATGAAAATCAGGAGACATTCATTGGGACTGAGACCTAACACCTGCCACTTGCTCAGGGATTGCTCAGCTCATGAGCTTTAGATGTGGTTGCTTGTGGTCTGTCTCCTAGCAAACCTTTCCTGTTCTCTCTATCAGAGCAAGGCTGAAGACCTTGAGAACACCGTGCAGAGCCATAGGCCATCCTCCAGGGTATGAAACTCTTCTGCATGGTCAAAGGAATGAAAATGCATCTCCTGACTCCTGTATAGTTGCTTTGGAGGTTCGCAGTAAGTTAATAATGTGTTAAACTATAGGCGCGCCCTGCTTTTCTTGAGAAAACAGCTGGCATGGCTTCAGTGCATGAGTTGAAGTTCAGAGTGAAGCAGCCAAGAGGAGTTAGTGCCCTGCTGATTTCTGGTTCCTGAACGCCTGCGGTCTATTAATTTCTGGAGGAAAAAAAAAGTCAGGTGAATTGAAATGAAGAAAACTGGTGCAATCTTGCCTGAGCCCCATGCCTGGGGAGCCATGTCCCATCTCTTCATGTGATGGCATGAGGCAGAATACAGCTCATCCATCACTCTGAGGCATGCGTCTCAGCCTTCTAATTAGTGAATAAAACCGGAGGTTTGGAGCTTAAACTGGTTCTGACCTGTATTTTTTAATTAAGGCATTTTTTAATATAACCCCTGCTTCAGGTCATCTGATATACTAATGTGGACATAATGCCTAACCTTCTTAACCCTACATTGTTACTTCTGCACTTTAATGCCAGTCTTAAAGAAACATTGCCCCATAAATTAGACACCAGGTACTAAACAGGAACAGAACCGGCTGCGAATGAAAATGCTCTCAAGGAATAATTAGATGGACCCTGAAGATCGGCTCCCAGCTGACATTTTTCAGCCTCTCATAAAAGCAAAAAATGCTCATGTTCCCCTTGTTAAAACTGCCTTGCTCTTACTTGGTCTGCTTGCCTGTAGGGTCAAAGGGGGTGTCCCGTCTTCTTATTGCCAACCCCATGCCTGATAATGGCTCAAATCGAGCAGGGATAGTATCTCCAGATACTCTTTGGGATCATTGTTTTCAGCTGGCTGGTGGCCACCTATTCCACTTGTGTCTGGGAGAGCAAAGATTTTTGATAAGCATAAGAGCACTGTGGAGGAGACCCTTGTTCCTATCAGCAGACAGAACAACTGATGAAGTCAAGGGATTAACGAAAGAAACCCAAGCACTGTGCAATTTTATGAGAGCTTTTTTTATGGGTTTTTGCTTATCCTGTATTGTTCTGCATGTAGCAATATCACGCTGAGAATCACAGGGAGAAATGCTAATTCAGTGTTTTTATATAGGGGAAACAGCATGCTAAGTGCATTCCTTAAGTCAGTCCAGAAACCGCCTCCTGCAAAAATTCATGAAAAGCACATGTAATGCCTTGTCAAGCTTGGCTCTTTCATCTGGGATAGTTAAAATATTTTTCACTAGAGGAAGATAGGTTGCTGGGTGGTTTGTTTGTTTGCCTGTTTCTGGATAAAGATCTTCTGAAGGTGGGAAAATACCCATCTTCCCATCTGACAGGCAGGAAGGTGCTCCCCAGTGCAGCCCCTGGGGACGGTTTGGGCTGTGGTTTCCTAGGGAAGCCAATGACAAAATATATATAGCCACAATTTTTTTCTTGCTTACCAGTTCTGGTAAGCTTCTTATGAGTAACCATCACGGCGTATCAGGCAGAGAAAAAACTTCCTCAGAGAAAAAACTTCCTCATCAACTCAAATACAATAAAAAGAAATTGAAGAATGGAAAGAACAAACAATTTGACTGTAAGAGCCTCAAAACTCCAAATCATTCCCACCAGTTCTCTGAAGTACAGTGTTTCAAACATTCATGGCTCAATTTACCACCTATTTGATGGGGGAAGTCTTTACGACACATTCTCTGCATTCCTTTACCAGAAGTGCTGTAAAAATGGACCTCCTCCCCCCTCCCAGTTCGATGCAGAGAATGACTCACATCTGGAAAATTTACCTTACAGCTCAGCACTGAGCTCTTCTTACAGCAACTTACCTAAAGGAAAAATCAGACGTGACCCTGTGCATTTGCTGCCCTGCAAGTGCGGGTATGCAAATGTTCTCTTGTATACTTCGGGTTAGTTCGAGTCACAGTAATAGCAGAAATGGAGAGATATGGGTTTATGTGGAGGCTCTGTAGGCTCTAGTGGAGGAGAACTGGTTAAATCAACATTGGGTCATGCTGAAGGGCATGTTTCTCCATGGTCATGGTTGTCTATACCCAGCGTGGTAAGAGTGGGAAGGAGAAATTTGATGTTACAGTTGATTACATTATCTGGAAGCATGGAGAAAGTTGGAAATGTGGCCATCAGGCAAGGCAAAAGCAGCAAACACTAAATGTTTGTAAACTGGGCTCTGAGGGCATCCAGGGAAAGATAGCAGCCAACTGTGGTTGATGGCAGTGTGGTGTGCTGAGGTCCTGAACTACCACTTGGAGGTGGAAAGATCTCAAAGGAGGATGTTGTGGGAGGGAGCGGTGCTGCTTCTAGCTCCAAGGGGCACTTGGAAAATCCCACTAGATGGTCTTGCACTCATGGCCTCCCAAATCTGCCGTATGGATAAGTCACTTGCACATCGCCAAGCTTTGGCTGTAGGCATGTCCTCAACCGAGCAGCAGACACCCCAGCCAGGTAGAGTGACTGCAAGCTGAAGTCATAAAGTGCATATTAGCTTAATGTTTTTTGAAGATGGAAGGGTTTTAACCATTAGAATAGTTGTCCAAAGGATCTTGTGCATTTTTTTCTCAGCTTTCTCTCAAGCTTATATCCGTCATGCAGTGGCAGATTCCTTCTCAGCCCTGGGTTATTGGACTTGATGGAGGAATTTCTGAGTGAAAAGCACAATCTGCTCTAACACAGGAGGCCAGGTTGGGTGTTTCTAATGATTTCTTCCTGCTTTCAAAGCTTCTGATTAAATCTGTGTCTTTTCCCATAAGTTGGGAGCCAAGCCCAGAGGGTGAAATTCCATACGATTCACCGATTAATTCCACCTTCATTCCTGCACGCTGCCTGACTATGAGGCCTTCATTGGTGCAGAAAGGGGAATCTCTCCTTTCCCAAATACCTTCTCCTCTCAAGACAGTAGCCCCAGCTTGCCATCAAACCTTCTTCTACAATACAGCAGTGCTATAAAAGCTATTCCCAACTCAAGTGGAGTGCTACCGTCTCTCCTGATGATATACGAGGGTGTCATGACTTGTTATGTCATGTCAGATGATGCGGTGGCATAATAAGAGCTGATGGGATGTGGCAGCAGTCGTTTTGAAATTGAAGAAAAAAAGGTTCTCTGTGCACCAAAGAACACATCTGTTTTGTGGCATAATTCAAATTAACTTGGGGGAATTCACTACATCTCGGGTGTCTTCCATGGTGACATGCAACATAGAAATGCAGTCTTGGAAAGCTTTTATGAAAGCTCAGCAGCCAGAGCAGTTTTAAATTGCTTTTGCTTTTTTTTTTGTTAAAAAAAAATAAAATTCTGACAGCAATTTCCTACTCTTGACTGATTCTACCTAATTTGCGCTTGTACTGATTGCAGTTTTATAAACAGGAATTCCAGGGCTATGTATGTCTCTACCAAGGGGGGAGATGTTTAGCTTTTCACCTTTCTCCCAGATGAAATGCAAATCACCTGCATTAAACTTCTCTGCATAAAGTGATGCTGGGAGACCAGAGATCAGCCGTGCCTGCTGCTGCCCAGCTCACACAGGAGCGCTCCGGTCCCTTTTGCAGGGACACCCTAGAAAATGCCATCTATTGAGGCCCTGTGCTCAGCTCACACCCAGGGGAATGCGATTCGGGGGTTGATGTCGGCAAATGGGCCTTGGGACCCTCCGGAGGGGAGTGTGCTATGGTGCAAACTGAACTGCACCAGCCAGGAGCCAGGCAAGGGGCATGTCCTGGGGAATTAAAACTTTAATCCCTAAGGATGCAGCAGACAGATTATTTCCAGGGCAAGGAAGCATGAGGTGGCTGCCAGGGAGAGGGTTTCACTCTCTAAAAATATGTCCCAGTGCTAGCTGAACACACGGTTGCCCTAGCTGTCAACAGACACTTTGCTGTTGGGAGCCAAAATTGTTCTAATACATCCCCTATGTCAAATGTTGATAAAGAGCTCTCTAAGCCCTAATTTTTTTCCCTCTCAGTCTTAACTGAAGTATATTTCTTTTCCCTCAAATTTGGAATAGAGGTTTTGAGCCTCTCTGAGCTTTGTAGAGATTGCAAAATCTGACCAATCCTCCCTGCAGGAATATCTGGCAAAAAGGAATCCTCATGGCTTGATCAGGGGCAGTCTGCTTGGAGCAGGTCTCCCCCATGGGATGTGCACTACAGGTAGCTGCATAAAATGACCCCATGTCTGGTCTTATGGGTCTCAGATTGGACCATAACTCTGGGGAGGTGGATTGTCTGCCATGGGCCAGCTGGATGAGCAGAAATGGTCGTGTCATCTCCCATGCCTCAGTTTCCCCAGTTGCTGAAATGGCAGCAATGTTCAAGAGTCTGAGGAAAGGCTGGGAGGTATGGTCATGCTCTTCCTCTGAGCTTTCAAGGGGCCATGCAATTAAATTAACCGCTGAATCTTGCTAACAGCAGAGCAAAATGTGTGACGATTTGTTGCAATTAATCTCAGGTTGCGGTACTACCCTGGAGACCGTGTGGGCATTACTTACTGGAAACATACCCCAACCTTAACCCAAAACACATGCTGCTGGCAGAGCTGCCCCAAGGGAAGAGACTTTGCCTGCATTTTTGCCTGGCATGGCCACTAGCTGCAGGGGGCTGGGGCAGCTCTGCATGCTCGCCATGTGGCTGCCCCTTCAAGGGGAGCGATGGGGCTGAGCAAGGTGGGACTTTGTCCTAATGATGAGGTGGAGCTGGCTCAGGAGAAGATATAGGGCAGGAGCTGAGCCAGCAGCAAGTCTGGGAATGGGGATAGCAAGGGAGGAGAAGGAGGATTTTATGGGTGTTTGCATTAGTATGGGGCTACTGAGGAGTTCAGCTGAGCTTTCTTCTTGCTCTTCCCGGCTCTGTCAATGCTGTCTCAGTGAGGCTACATCCCACTTTTTCCTGCTTAGGTTGATAAGCATAGAGAAGGGAAAGACAGCAGTAATCTTCATTAGAGGGGAAGCTACACTAATTAACTATGGAAAGAGAACATCCATGGCTCAGGAGATGGGCAGAAAGCCCTGATGCAGTGGGGGTCACCCTATTTATTGCCCGGCC